CTCCCTCACCCCCCCTCCCCTACCCCGGCTCAAAACACGCAGCAACATTTCCCATTTTCCTGCCTCGCCTCTGAAATGACAAGCCGCAATCGCTACCCATGCTGGATAAGGCCTCCCCCGTTCCTTTTTCTTCATGGGAATTTGTTTGTTTTTTTAAAGCGGACAGCAACTTTTTACACCAAATTGAAACGATAAGTGATTGATGTTTGAGCATTGATTGCCTTTCGATTGGTCCACCGGACAAGCCTTTTTTCATTTGGATTTGCTCATTCAAAGCATGCAGCAACATTTGATCTCATTGACTGTTTTGTCGGAGTGTGCGTTGGTTTTCGTGGCGCGTTTGTATTTGACCACCGGGCGAGCCTTTTTTTTTGGGGGGGGGGGGCCTCATTCAAAGCACGCGGCAACATTTCATGCTTTTCATGGTTTCCTCCAATGTGTGCCGGCGATTCGCACCACAATAAGGAAGGTCGGATGTTGGCGTGTTGACATCTGCCGTTATTTTCCCGCATTCAAAGCACGCGGCGATAGTTGGCATCCGTTCCCGCGCTCCCGGCGGACTCCTGAAACGACAAGCGAGTGTTGCTTTTGACGTCCGGTAACGGCGCGTTTGCATTTGTCCGCCGTTATTATCTTTTTAAAGGCCGAGCGTTGTGCCCTCGCCGTTGCGCGTCATCCGTTTAATTGTTGAGCGACCGCCAGGGTCCACTCGGCCAGATAAGACAACAATGGAGGCTTGTGTGGAAGTCAAACGTTGCCTCATCTGGGTTTTTTTGCACGCCGCTCAAGGCCGCTTTACAGTCGCGCTGGGCTTATCTTTATTGGGAGCAGAACAACAACAAAAAGAAAAGAAATGCACCAAAGTCGCGCTGGCTTCAGCGATTGCTGATAAGATCTTTTGAATGCTTTGTCCTCACGGCGAGCACTTTGTTCAAAGCAAAGAGAAGAGGACGAGCTTGAACCCCCGGAGAGGTCCAAGGTGCATTTTGTGACTTGTGATTTTTTTTTTTTTTTTTTAATCGACACAACTAGAATTTAAAGCACCCCGGCGACATTTTGCGCTTCGACCGAATCCGGCAAGTTTGCCTTGCGACTGAAACGCTTAGCGTGTGCGGCTATTGATTGTTGAACCATTGTTTGTTGTCAAATGTCCATCCATGCGTTGAGGCTTTTGCCCATTCAAAGCATGCAGCAAAACAAAAGCAAAATAAAAACACCGTTTACTTTTTCCGGCAGCGGTGCCTCGCAGCTTCAACAATTAGCCTATGCGGCTATCGATGTTGAATCGTACATTTGTCCACCAAATGGCTTTCGACGTTTCCCACATTCAAAGCGTGCGGCAGCATTTGACCGTTTGTAGCCATTTTCTGCAATGTTGCCGGATTTTAATGGCAACATTGAGGTTGAATAATTGCTTGCAGTTGTCCAACCTTGTCACCTTCCTTTTCCCCGTGCAAAGCATGCAGCGAAAACGACAACAACAACAAATCACAGCATTGACCGTGTGCGCAAGGGCTGCCTCGCAATGGAAATGATTCATTGCTATTGACGCTGGATGATGCCGGGCTTGTATTTGTCCATCAAACGCCGCAGCTTCCCCCCCTCCCCCCCCCCATTCATTTGACTTTTTACTCAATCTTAAAACTTTGCCGCGCTCGTGAAATGATGAGCATGTGTGACGATTCATGTTGGATATTAGTGTGTGTGTGTGTGTGTGTATATTTGTCCACCAGACAAGGCTAGTTTTTCACCATTCCAAGCATGAAGCAACATTTTACACATCGGGAGCGGCGTCATTTTTTTTCCGTGGCCGCAATCCTGCCGCTTGTCTCGGCTGCCAAGTGAGCTCAATGGGTTTGGGAACTCGTGTGTGTGTGTGTGTGTGTGTGTGTGTGTGTGTGTTACCCCCCCTCCACTCTACCTCCAAATGTAAGCGTCCTCATTTATTTGTGTCAAGGCCGTAGAGTCACTCAGTAACTGTCGTTTTTGCATGCTGGCTATCGTTATCTGATAACAGGTTGAGGATACGGCGTTAGATCAGCGCCGCGTTTTGGGCACAATTTGGGATGAGCCATTGAGGCTTTCAAAACGCGGTGCTTTTATTTTGAAAGTCGCCCTTTAAAACATGCACGTACGTGGCCAAGTCGTGAGCGAGGCCTTACGACTTGTGTCTGCAGCGTTGCCAATTTGTTGATTCCAGATTGTCCCTCTTTCTTTGCCAGTGACCTGCCTTTTTTTATTTTATTTGATTTGATTTTGGGGTGAAAGTGAAACCGATAGGATGCTTAGGGTGCGGTGTGCACAAATCCCAAAAGAGATCAGATTAATAACACGCACACTGAACATTTGTCCAAAGAAATCGCCGCGCTGGCAAGAGCCAACTCGGAAAACGGCTGAGTGAGCCCGAGGGAGCTTTGACGTCACTTTCAGTCGGCAGCAGGGGGCGCCGGACTCATGGATGGATTCGTCTGCTTCGTTTGGGATTCCGCCGCGGCCACGTTGAGAAGGGTAGGCGGGCGTGCGCGCAGTACGTTACGGCCAAAGCGGCTTTTTGCCGCAAGCCCGACAAAAAGCAGAGCGCGCGACACATCGCTACGCTTGCTTTTATTTTGGAGAGCACCACTGTGGCCAAACAACAGCGAGAGGGGCGACCGCATATGAGAAGAGCCACGGCAAAAGAAGTATGCCTTTATCTTTTAATAAAGCCAGCGGGCAACATGGAATTATGGCGCAATAGCAGTGCGCAGTCCTCTGAAGCCTTAATTGCTTTAATTATAGCGGCCGCTGCCGGCGGGCCGGCGGGCGGAAGAACAAGACCAAAGTAGCAGCAAAAGCCGGGGGGAGGCAGTGAGTGCGGAAGCAGGCGCGGTCCAGGTGTGTAAACGTGCCGTGCGTGCGCACACTTGGATGTATGTAGATCATGGGGGGGGGGGGGGGGGGGGGACAGCATTCCAAGCTGCCATCCCAACGCGGGGAGGCTAAAGATAGCTCCCGTTTCCCCTGCCGTCTAGACTCCGCAGCCGGCTGGGCTTTTTGCAGCTGCGGTTTTCGTCCTCTCGGCCCAGGGAAGGCTACATACACGCTTGGCCAGCGGGAATGTGGCATAGCTAAACCCCCCCACGCTTCCCCCCGCCATACCCAACCGTGCAGAGCCTTCCTCGGCTGTCGTCATATGTTGGCGATGAATTCGCCCCTTGCTTTGACAACTCTTCCCAATGGGGCAGTTGGGATTGAGCCCCTGCCAACTCTGCCTAGCAACAAGTGACAAAGGAGAAACCCCGCCTATTCGCAGGAGATAAGGGACTGGGCCGACCTGCAAACAGCAAAAATCTGCAAGAAAGCCTCTCGTCACTTCTTTTTCGGCCTGTTGTGGCTTTTTTAAAAAGTATTTTTATTGTTGTTATTGTTATTAGCAAGCTGGTTTGCCTGCGGGGACATTTTTGTTGTCGTCAGGCAAGTCGCTGCACTGCAGATTCTTGCACGGGGAGCTTGTCTTTTTAATCTTTTTGTTTTTTTTTTTCTTTTTCTTTTTCTTTTTTGAGTCTCAGCCACAGCTATTAATTATTAACCGGGAAGGCTGACATCAAAGCCAGACTAGTGCAGAATTAAGTCTGTGCACGCCTGTGTGTGTGTGTGTGTGTGTGTGTGTGTGTGTGTGTGTTTGAGGGAAAAGAAGCTTTTTGAACTTTCCAAGTGCAAAAATGCAGTGAGCAGGAAGAGAAATGAAAAGTGCTGCTTAAGTTTGAGGTTACGAGTGGAGCAGCTGCTCCGAATCTCGACATGCCGCTCATGGAGCAAGCAGATGACGACACATTTCCCAAGTAAAAAGACTCGTTTTTCCGCCAATATTACGTCTTAGACGTCTCGTCTCAAGTCTTGTAAAATTTATAATATATAGATTGAAAAAATGATTTAGCTCCGATTACAACTTTATTCCCCCAAAAAGAAGTTTCTCTCTGTCTCTCTTTCTTGATATCTAAAATCTGGGTGACATGAAAGGATTCCACTTCGTCTAGCGGCCTCCGCATTTTCCTTTTCAACATAAAACTAATTGCGTTTTCAGGCCAAGCGAGCGGTGCAGCGAGGAGCGACTGCCGTCATCTTTGATGTATCGGAAAACCCGGATGCCATCGACCAGGTTGGTAAGACGCGTCCTCGTGAGAACGCTCTGTGTGTCCGTGCAAGTGTGTGTGTGTGTGTGTGTTGAACCTTGAAAGACAAGCAGCGTTCAGCGCTCCACTTTGAGTTTGCGTCGTGACAATAGTCGATGAATTCGTTTTTGCGGGGCCGCAGGAAACGCCCTTTTTCAAATGTGCCGCACAAGCCACGTCGGCTTCCGCTCCCGCGTTTCTCTTGGGCGGGCGTACCCAATGAGGCGTCCGCTCCTCCTCGCGCACGTCCGGCGGCTAACGTGGCGCGGCGGCGCTTGTGTTGTCTCAGCTGGACCAGGTGGCGGACGGCCCCCTCAAACGGCCGGTGGTCTACGTGAAGGGCAACGACGCCGTCAAGTTGATGAACATCGTCAACAAGCAGAAAGTGGCGCGCGCCAGGATCCAGCACAGGCCCCCCAGGGTAGGATTGACCGCCCGCCCGCCCGAAGCCCACGAACGCACCTCGGGCCCGTCCCGTTGTCACCCGTGCCTCCGTTTTCCGAGCCGCTTTGTCCTCAGGAGGGGCCGCGAGCTCGGCCGTCTGCGGGAACTGCTCGTCACGACCGCACCTCGCGACCGCACCTCGCGACCACGTCCAGCGTTCCGCTAACCTGCCGCGCGTGTTTTTGGAAGGTGGGAGCAAAACGGGGAAAAGCCGCGCATACAAACTCCACGCGGGAAGGTCGGGGCCAGGAATCGAACCCGCGACCTCTGCGCCGTGAGGCGGACGTACGAACTCGTTCTCCACGGTGCTGCCGGTTGTCATGAAATGGATTCTAAACGGTTACGTTTGTAGGTGAAGATCAATTTTTATTGATTCAAATAAACAGTTCAATGTTGAATTTACCTCCAAAAAGTCATAAAATCATCCAAAGGAGGAAGTGTTGGCGCGGTGCAGAGGTCGTGCGTTGGGTCAGGGCTCCGGCCTCCCTGTGTGGAATTTCCATGTCCTTCCCGGGCCTGCGTGGCTTTTCTCCGGGTTTCCTCCCACGTTCCAAAAACTTGCACGGCTGGGAGGATAAAGCGGATCGGAAAATGGGTGGATGGATGGAAATATTTCACATTGAAAAACGCTCTGCTTTTGTCGTTGCGGCGCAGCAGCCCACCGAGTACTTCGACATGGGCATCTTCCTGGCCTTCTTCGTGGTGGTGTCGCTCGTCTGCCTCATCCTGCTGGTCAAGATCAAGCTCAAGCAGAGGAGGAGTCAGGTGCGCCCGCCCGCCGGCCGCCCGCCGCCAGCCCTCGCTTTTGTCTTTTGGGCTGTCTCACTCCTTCGCGCGTCACATTTTCATTCCGTCCTTTGACCCGCACGGTTGATGACTGTTAAGCGATGATGTCAGCAGAGGAAATGAGCGGTGCTCATCTTGTCGTTTGCTTTGCGCAGAGCTCCATGAACAGGATGGCCAGCCAGGCGCTGGACAAGATGGAAACGCGCAAGTTCAAGGCCAAAGGCGGCAAGACGGCGGCGGCGACGGCGATGGCGGCGGCGCGCGAGAGCGGCCGCGGCACGTCCGACTCGCTGAGCAGCAGCTCCACGGCCGACTGCGCCATCTGTCTGGAGAAGTACATTGACGGAGAGGTGCGCCTCGAGGCTCCCCCCCGACTTTTTAGTGCACCTGCTGCAACATAACAAGCCCGTGTGTTTGGAGGATGTGTTTCCCCCGCGCATGCTTAAAAAAACAGCGAGCGAGCCTTCCTATGCGTCCTGATCTTCCTGTGACGGGTTTGACTTGCGAGCGTCCCCAAATGGAGGCCAAGACAAGAAAGTGTGTTGTGGCGCGGCGCCGCGTGCAGGAAGTTGAGCCGTCGAAAGCTTGAAAGGCATCAAAGGCAAAACTTCAAAGATGAGTCGGGAGGATTTATTGGCGTGAGAATGCCGAGGAGTCGGACGTTCACAGCCGCCGCCGCGCATTCTCGTCATCGTCGCTCGGCCCCAGCGGGCGCCCGGGGCGGCCCCGCGTTTGGAGTTTTCCGCTCGACTTGGGTCGGGAGGAAAAGCGGCGGCGCTCGCGGGCTCCCTCTGGTGCTACGCCAGGAAAAATTGCGCCGCCGCCGCCTCCGCCGCCTCGTTCGGCGTTTGTTCTTTCCTTCGGCCACGAGCGGGCGCCTCCGTTGGACTTGACTTTGTTCGCGCGACATCTTCAACAAGTCTCGGCGCGATGCAGTCGATTTCCATCGGCCGTTCGTGGCCGGCGCGTTTAACGTTCTCCTGTCTTGAATCCAGTACGCCGCCTTTTTGGACTTTGCCGGTTCAGTGTGAAGGTCCTGAATTAAAAAAAAAAAAAAAAAAAAAATCACATTTGAATTGAACATTTGATTTTCTCCCCTTGAGAAGTGTGGCGTTAACATTCCAACCGTGCGATTTTCAAATATCAGAACTGATCAGACGACGGGGTCAAATTCTGATGATGTTTGCTATTTTATGCAAAATGGACTTTTTAAAAAAAAAATAAAAAAAAAAAGTCGGGACTTTTCTTGATTGACTTAACGGGCCAATCATCGAGTCAGACATCAAACGTCAAATGTTCACTTTGCGGTTCCGTGTTTGAACGAAAGGAGGCCAGGCTGAGTTCTTTGCTGTTCTCCATCATAGCTTGACTCATCATGAATGACGCCCCCCACCCCCCCTTTGCCCTCCCCCGCAGGAGTTGCGCGTTATCCCTTGCGCTCACCGCTTCCACAAGAAATGCGTGGACCCCTGGTTGCTCCAGCATCACACCTGCCCCCACTGCAGACACAACATCATCGGTAAGGTTTTTCACGCTTTGAATTGTGGGAAATGGAAATTTTGTCGAAGAAAAAAAAAAGAAAAAAGAACAGCAGCAAATCAATTCTTCAATGTTCACCCCGTCCGGGGCGCAGGTGGGGGCCGCCATTTATTATCGGGTCGCCCAGTGAGCCGTTCTCACGCCAAAGCGACATCGCCGCTCTCGCGTTGATCATTTGAGTCCGCGGCGCTCATCGGCGGACCTCGACGCCGTTAAGAGTCGGCGAAATTGTTTCAAAGTGTTTGGCCACAGATGCAATTTCTGAAATTCATTCAGAGGAGCCGAGCGCATCCACAAATAAACCCAAACTTGACGATTGATGATGAGCTTGTAAATTGGGGGGGGGGGGCGTGACCCCCCCCCCAATCTTTCCGTTCTCCGATTGCTCGGTTGGAGGCAAAACTTGTCAAAATGCGTCGTTAGCGCTTCGCACACATGAACGCTTTTTCGCCCCCCCCAAGTTCATATGTTGATCTGCATTTCGTGGTGTCTGCGGTTTGTGGTTCCGCAGAGCAGAAGCTGGGCGCGGCGTGCGCGGAGCCCGGCAACCCGCCGCACGGGCGGCAGTGGGCGCAGCGGGCCGGCCGGGCGACGGCCTACCCGACCCGCACCAGCGTAGACCCCCACGGCAACGCCGTCACCGTGCTGACGGTGGAGCGGCACCCGGACCCCGCCGGCCTGTACTCGCCGCGGGCCGCCTCTTCCTTCCTGCGCAGCTACCACGCCGCCCTGCACCTGGACCACTCCCTCAACCCCCACCGCTGCGCGCTGCAGCACCGCGGACCCCCCGCCTACCAAGCGCGGCCGCCGCCGCCGCCCCCGCAGCAACCTGCTCTGAAGCGCCCCAAATTCCACGGCCGCAACTTGGCGCGGCCGGCGTGTTACCCGCAGTACGAAACCATGTATCAGCACTACTACTTCCAGGGCTTGACTTTCCCCCAGCAGCCCCCCGAGGGGGCGCGGGGCCCCCCGGCTCCGGGTCACGGGGCCTTCCGGCAAGGACTGTGGTACCCCGGCGCCGCGCACGTGCTTCCGTGGCCGACTGCCCCGGCAGCGACAGCAGCAGCAGCGGCGGCGGGGGCGGCGGCGGCTCGGGCCCGTGCCACTGCTCCTCCAGCGACTCCGTGTTGGACTGCACCGAAGTCAGCAACCAGGGCGTGTACGGGAGCTGCTCCACCTTTCGGAGCTCGCTGAGTAGCGACTACGACCCCTTCGTCTACCGCAGCAAGAGCCCGTGCAGGGCTTCGGCGGGGGAGGCGTGGCCCCCCGCCCCCGAGGAGTCCACGCCCTCCTCCGCCGGACACGGCCGGCCCCCCCCTCCCTACAACTGTGGGGACCGGCTCTCCAACTGCAGCTCGGAGCCCAACTCCTTTCGGAGCTCGCTGAGTAGCGACTACGACCCCTTCGTCTACCGCAGCAAGAGCCCGTGCAGGGCTTCGGCGGGGGAGGCGTGGCCCCCCGCCCCCGAGGAGTCCACGCCCCCGGCCAGGCCACGCCCTTTCCGCTTTTTTCATCACTC